GGAGAACTCATTTCTATACTCTACGTAAAGACCGCCTTCTAAAGAGATATTATAAACTATTTCGCTTCATTTAATGTATTATGGTTACTAAAATATAAATGTGCGTTACTGAAGCAATAAATTATTTTTTGCAGTGTGTAATGTTTATTTAAAATTTGTTATATTAACTCTCGATCTATTTAAAATTATATATTTATACAAATCCAAAGAAAATTTACACTTTTTCCACATTTTTTGCCTTAAACAATTTAAGATCAACATATTTAATAATTTTATTAAGGGAAGAAAACACAATCAAGTCCTCTAATCTTATTGGCTGTAGTATATTTTATGGTCTCATTAATAGAATTGTTTTCTACCCTTCGTTTCTTGGCCCTCTATAGTAGTCACAGTCTTCACAAACATGCGGTACGAGATGATTCTTATTGTGTATATTACATTTATTTTATTCGGCCTTCATTTTTGTGGAAGCAAATATAGTCCAGCACCTAATATTTGGAGTGGCTATACCCGCTCATTTAGCAAGACTCCAATTTATTTATATGAAAGGAGATCTTTTCAAAAGCCTTATTCTATATACAACAGGAGACCTACCGGAAGTCTTTCTTGGCAGCATGAGGCGCCAGTACTTTCTTCTCATACTGAAATTTATGACCTTATTCACAATAGGAAGGCAGATCCACTTTTCAACACAGATGAATCCATTTCTCCGTCACAAGAACGGCTGCCAGACCCAGATATGCAACGACGCATGTGGATGCATTCTAATTATGCTCAGCTGCCCACTCCTGACTCAAATCACATGACTACATCGATGTCCCGCCCTTCAAGAGCATTTAGGATGCCTAATCTTGACAACTTTGCCATTCATCAAGTCCCAGGATTCGAGTATTCAGATCGAAATGGTAGGCCGGCCCAAGATGATGCATTAGAATACAGACCTGCAAATGTAAAACCACCACGAAGCAGTCTCGTGTGGAATGAAGAAGGCAAATTTTGGGGGTATGCTAAAACAGATCACGGTCTAATGCTCCGTCCACAAGATTACCCTTCTCAGACCAGTAATTATCCGACTTATTCAAATTATGATGATGGATCTTGTATTCCACCATTTTGCATCCCAGTAATGTGCAATGATAGTGAAAAAAAGGAAACCTGCAAGGGCTCTTGCTGCAAACAACTTTGTGACCCACCTTGCCTAAATGGAGGCGCATGCCGCAATCAAACATGTTCATGTCCCCCAGGATTTCTTGGACCCCAGTGCCAGGCCTTCACTACGACTCTTTGCCGACAAATACACGCCTTGGATTGCTTTTTTGGATGTGCAGCAAATGAGCCTTCTAACAAGTTTTTATGCATCTGTAGGCCCTGGAAAGTAGAGGATATTTCGAATTGCACATCTGTAGGCATAGAATCATTTGCATGCCCTGAAGGTTGCAATGACAGAGGAAGATGTGATATAAAGACACGTAAGTGTCATTGTAATGAACCGTACTCCGGACTGGCTTGCGAAAGTCAAGATTACTGCAAAGCGTCCAACCTAATGCCATGTGAATATAAATGTCTTAACACTCCAGAAGGACGCCATTGCATTTGTCCCAGGGGGGCTAGTCTAAATACAGATGGATACTCATGCAGTATGGGGCAGTCAAAATGTCCACATGGAACTACTGGAGAGCGATGTGAACTAGATATTGATGAATGTCTGACCGGCACACACGATTGTGAACAGATTTGCAAAAACGTATTTGGCGGCTATGAATGCTCATGCAATCCAGGATTTACTGTTAATCCAGTGAATGCACGCAGCTGTATAAGGCATGGCTGTGATCCACAATGCATTGCTGAGCAGGGTATATGTACTGCTCAAAATATATGCAAATGTCTTAATGGGTTCAAGGG